TTTATTTTCATTGTTCTTGATAATAATTCTAAGCCGTTAGAGGGGAAAATTATATTCAAAAATGCTGTTTCACACTTTATTTGTTTGATGATTTAGAGCGATAGAAAATAGCACATTTGCTGGCTTTTATAGTCTGATAATTATTCACATCCATCAAGCCATTGCAGGGGAATAAACAAAACACCGAGAAAATGACACTATTAATAGCATCCTCCGCGGCGGACAGGAAGACTTTCCTGGGCCGGCGTCTCGGTGCAGTGGAAGTGGCCTGTCCCCTGGCCAAGGCGAGCGGCCCTGCCTGCAGAGGACGAGTTTCTGTCTGGCCCCAAGAGCCGCCGGGCTGCAGCCTCCAGCCGCCCGAGCACCCAGGACCCGCCCGGCGTCACAGGCCCCGGAGCCGCTCCATCAGTCCCACGGGCTCTGTCGTGACCTGTGCGGGTGACAGCCTCCCGACGTCCGGGGCCTCGCGGTGTCCCCAAGATGGCTCTGCCACCAGCCTGGACTCAGGCCTGGCCTCAGCAGGGCCCGGCGAGCCGTCCTGCCCTCTGGCCTCAGAGATCAAACGAGAACAGTTGGCCGAAGGGTGTACCTCTCCAGTGTCTAGCTTTTCTGGAATGTTCCTGGCCCCCAGTAAGCAGGGCAGACTTGCACGCGTGTCTGGCCACAGATCTTAGACGCCCTTGCTCGCCCCCCTGGCCCTGGCCCTGTGGGAGGCACCCCAGGCCTCGGCCCTCGCACCGTGGGCGGGTTTGTGGGTTTCAGCTTTGCCGTTTTTGGGGTGTCTGTGATCGGAGGGGTTGCATTCACTGTCCCAGATCCTTCAAGACGTGAAACAAGAAACCTGAGGGGCAGAGCGGGCTGGGGACGCCCACCTCCCTGGGACCAGCCCGCCCTATCTGCCCCCAGACCAGGAGGCCATTCCTTCTGGAACGCAGGTTGGGACTTGGCCATTCCCCATCGGAGCTCCTGAAGTGTGTTTCCTTCTGGTCGTTTGAGCTGTGAAATCCTGGACCGTGATTGTTTCTTAACCATTGTGGCCTTCACACGTCGGTGTCCCCGCCCGGGAGAGCCCGGTCCCCGGGCTCCTGTCTCCCCATTGCCTCCTCGCTGGGTTAAACCTCATCTGACGATGTTTGCTGTTCTCGCCGAAGCCCCTGAGGTCTGCAGACGACCACCTTTCCAAAGAGGGTGTCTGCCAGGCGATGCCCGAAGTTGTCTCTCTCGGCCTCCGCGGTGATTCCGCGACATTAACCCGGGTTATGGAGCCTGTCGCGTCTGCTGCGGCCTCTGCAGGGTCACCTGGGCTGGCCGCCCACCCTCTGTTCTGACAGCGCCGAGTTTTCTGTGACTTTCTGGTTTACAGTTGTCCACAAGTACTTTGTGTAAAACGATCAAAAGCAGAAAGAGGGGAGGGGCTTTTAAAATATGCAGATAAAGACTTGGGGGCTGTGAAGGGCCGGCCCCGTGGCTTAGCGGGTAAGTGCGCGTGCTCCGCTGCTGGCGGCCCAGATTTGGATCCCGGGCGCGCACCGACGCACCGCTTCTCCGGCCATGCTGAGGCCGTGTCCCACATACAGCAACTAGAAGGATGTGCAACTACGACATACAGCTATCAACTGGGGCTTTGGGGAGAAAAAGGGAAAAAAAAGGAGGAGGATTGGCAGTAGATGTTAGCTCAGAGCCGGTCTTCCTCAGCAAAAAGAGGAGGATTAGCATGGATGTTTGCTCAGGGCTGATCTTCCTCACAAAAAAAAAAAAAAAAAGACTTGGGGGCTGTGGAGAAAGTTCTGGAGGGGTGACTCCTGCCTGGCTAAGTGCAGAGTCAGGACTCCCGCTGTCCTCTCAGGGGCGCCCGCTGTGACTGCCCTTGGCTGCTGGTTTAGAGCCAGCCTCCCACAGGCAAGGCCGGGGGCTGAGGCTCGAGGGACCGGGGTGACCCTGCACGGGCGGCCCATCCCTCTTGCAGCCTCCCCCTTGGGCTGTCCCCTGTCCCCCATTTCTGACTCTGCCCTCTGAAGCCCCCTGGTCTGCTCTCCCTCCCATGGCTCCCCAGGTTCCGGAAATTGCTCTGCCCATTCCTTTATCTCCAGATTCTTCCGCCATGACTTGTGTGCTGGGCTGCAGACCCTCCACGTCTGCCACTGGCCTGGAGTGAGCTGGCCGCCCAGGAGTGTCAGCCAGGTGCAGCCCGGTCCTGGGGACGAGCGTGTTGATGGAGGCCATGGTGGGGGGACGAGGCCAGTCCTGCAGGAGGTGTCAGGGATGGACCGAGAGGACGGCGTGGGGGCCGGTGTGTGGCAGGCCTGGGGGGAACCAGGCTTGCTGGAGAGGATGCTGGTGCTGGCGAGAGCAGGATGGGGGAGCCGAGGGAGGATCTGAGAGGGCACGGCCGAGCTGGGGGAGGGAGATAGGCAGGGGCAGGAGAGACGTCTGGGAGGTGTTGCCCTCGTCCAGTCGTGAGACAGACGAGCACCCGGAACAGGCCAGGCCACGCGGCCGGAGACAGGCCAACCGGGGCTGCAGGTGGGCAGAGCCAGTGGATTTTGGCCATGAGGTTTGACCTTGTGATGGGGACGGAGCTCCTGGGAGGCAGACAAACTGCCCCCATGTTGTGACAGTAAAACTGACTCCTGGCTGAGCACTCGCACACTCATGGCCAGACAGATGCTTCTCCGCCTGAGGGCGAGCGGGCAGTCAGATCACCCCACGTGGCTGCTCCTCCGTCTCTTCTCTTCTTTGTTTTTTCTCCCAGAGCCCGGCCCGAGAGTCGGGGATGCGCCGGCTCCTGGGGGCCCTGGTGGAGACCCTGAGAGGCTCTGCTCTGGGGCCCCCGGGTCTGGGGGACTTGTCCCCAGCGGTGTTGGGAGGCCGGCTCCAGGCGGCTCCCCTGGGCCCCCACCCCTGGCCCTGCCCAGGCGCCCCGAGGGCCGTGGCACAGAGGGCTCCGCGGGAGTCTGCAGCGCTGCCCTGGAGGTCCTCTCGGCCGTCGGGGGCCAGCAGGACTGGGGGCCCTAGTAGCTATGCACATGGAGCCATTACCACCCGCCCTTCCTCCTTGGATGGCGGGACCTCGCCAGTGTGTTGTGTCGTCGGGGCCCCGCCCTGTTCTCTGCCTTCCCTGGAAATCCGAGGTTTCGGCTTGCCGAGTCCCCAGGGGTCCCTGTCGTTGGAGCTGGGACTTCTCGGCGCCCCCGAGGCTGTCGCGGGTTGTTCCAGGCCAATGGCGGTGCAGCGCACTCTAGGACGGTGCGGTCCAGGAGTTTCCGTGGCTGTCGGCTTCCCGGCCAGGAGTCTTTTCTGATCTCTCTGGGGACCGTCTTCCGAGCGCTCAGCCCAGCATCCTGCAGTCTGCGCGCTCCGATAACAGAGGAGCCCCGTTCCAATGTATTAAACTTTTAACATCCACCAGATTCAATTAATCTTATCTTTACAACTCCCAATTACAGGCGGTAATTAAGTGAAAGCAGCATTGTAGACGGGGGTTTTGCATTAATCATCACAGCCTTGGAGCCATAAATTAGTTCCTTCCAGTCCCCCAGCATCTTCCCAGAAGGAGTGGTGCTTCATTTCCCGGTTTGAGGGGACAATAATCCCACAAAGGTGCTGCGGGTTGGGATTAACTTTTCTCATCTTTGTGTCAGCGATGAAAGGCTGTTTCAGAAAGAGTCACCTCATCTTTGTCCAGACGATGGAACATTCTCCAGCGACAGCGGACTTGAAGGTGCTGCGGCCGCCTCCTCGAGGCCCCGGAGCGTGCCTGGAAATTAATTGTTTTTATCCTGTTAGATGAGAGGCGACACGATGTTTGCCTTATCTCCTACCCCTGCCCCCTTTTGTTTTATTAAAAAGCAGTGATAAACCTCTCACTGGAGTGGACTAGCAGCTCCAGAGTCTGGGCGATTTTCCATGTTCCTTCCTTCCCCGTCCTGCCTCCTGCACCGCGAGGGAGTAGAGGGCGGCCTGTGGTGCGTCCTCACATGCGCCTACTTCTAGAATGTGGGATATTGGCAGTCGTTACTGTGGAGCAGGGTCTCCTCCTTGCGCTGTGGTCATTGGGGCCGGGTCACTCTCTGTGGGGGCCGTCCTGGGCGCTGTGGGGGTGGAGCAGCATCCCTGGCCCCATCCATGCGATGCCAGGAGCTCCCCCAGTGTGACAGCCACAGACGTCCCCAGATGTCGCCCAGTGTCCCCTGGGGGAAGAATCGCCCCGGGACTCGGGGGTGCTCTGTTAGCTGCACAGATGGAGGCTTCACCGCCCTCCCCTCCTCCTTCAGACGGATGCCCCCCCCAGCGCTGTGTTGCCAGGGCCCCACGCCTTTGCCTGGAAATTGGGGTTTTCGTCTTGCTGGGTCCCTCGGGTGGGTTGGGACTTCCCAGCCCCCGCCCAGGCTGTCCCTCCGGGTGCCAGTCCCTGCCGGGCAGGAGTGCCGGCCTCCACCACGCCAGCTTCCTCACTCAGCATTAGTGGGGTGTCACTCTCGCCTCATCTGTTTGCAAACCTTCACCTTAGATCTTTTTTATTAATGACGGAGCCTCAGTAATCTTTCACATGTAAAATGTATAAAAATAAAACTTCCGAAGTGGGTGACAAGTGAAATTTCTCTGGTTCCTGAAGCTTCTTTCCTTGTTGGCCCTGGGGCCGGGAGGCTGGGATCCTGCCTCTTCTCAACTCTGGGGGCAGTTCCAATCCGGCGCTTTTTATTTTGTTTTTTGCTTTTAAAGCCTCATCGAGGTTTAGTGCCACTTAACTGGGAGCGTCTCCGCTCCTGGCATTCCGCGGGCGCCGTCACGACCCACCGAGTCCCGGTCCTCAGCCCCCCTTACCCCCTCCTCCCTTCGGGGGGGGATTCCTCCCGGCGGCCCCCCTGCCACCTGTCCCCCTGCGCCGCGCTGACCACAGCCGAGGTTCAGTGCCGCTCCGTGCGCGGCCGGATCCCGGGGCCCCGCCGACGTGTGGCGGCCACACGACCTCGCCTCTGACGTGCCTCCTTCTCTCGTAGGTACGCCATCCCCCCGGAGCACGGCAAGCGCCTGGAACGGCTGGCCATCGGTAGGTGTCTGCGCCCGCGGGGGGGGACCTGGGACCCGGGACTGGGGCGGGGCTGGCGGCAGCCTCATCCTCTTGGGTTTCGCTTTGTTTGGGTGTCCATTTCTGGGAGCGGCGACGTGCTGGAAGATGTCACTGCCTTGTCTTCCATCTCCTTGCTGTCCCGGGATCAGATCGTGGTCCCACTGCTCTTGTTGGGCGGTTTCTTAGCGCGGGTTCTCGGCTGTGACTGCAGCCTCCTGCGGGCCCGGAAGGGCAGCCGTGCTCTCTGTCCCCCTCCTGTCCGCCTGGCGCCATGTCGTGCGCTTTTCTGAGTCTTGAGGTCTCTGTTCAGTCTAGACAGTGAGAAGCCCAGATAGCGGTTCCCCAGCTGTGGGCTGAGGGCTGTCTGCTCGTGCGTGCCGGGGTCTGGCTCCCTCAGCGGGCGGCCCCCTCCAGCAGCCACTGCCTGGCCATCTGTGTTCAGACCCTCGCTGGGGCCTCTCGGGCCCAGGGATTTGTCAGAGAGGGTCCCAGGCTGTGTCTGGAGAGGGGACACTGACCCCTCGGGGTCAAGGCAGGCCTTCAGGATGCGTGATGTCTCTAAGACAAGCCAGGCAGTTGGGCGCTGAGGCCCCCGACCCCCAACCACGGAGCCAGGCAGGGGGTCTCACATCACGATGCCCTGCTCTCTTACCCAGCAGAAGCTCACGTTTCTTGGCGTCACATGGCTGTAAGTGCCTGGAAAGGCGTTACAAGACCCCACTGGTCAAAGTGGTCTGGCCCTCGCTCCGCCAGCCCCTCCCTCACAGGCAGCACCCGGACGGGTGGGGTGAGAACCCCGTTGTTCGGGAGCTGCTGGGACAGCGCAGCGCCCTTCTGATCATCCGACCCTCCAAGCGGCAGTGGCAGGCAGCCGGGCACCCCCTCCTCCCGCCAGGCAGCCACAGAATCTTCTGGAAGCCACCGCTCAGCGTTGGCGCAGGCTGCCTGGCTGCTGGGTGCCATCCTCGGTGCCCTCCTCATACCTCACCAAGATCGCCCCCACACGTGTTTTTCTCCTTTCCATTGGTGTCTTGGCTTTGGAGATGGGAACGGTGGATCCTTCTGGAAAAACGGGCCTCCTGTCCCAGCTGCACTCAGAGCTGTGCGTCTCCTCAGCAGATGCTGTGACACGCGGGCCACACAGGTTCCCGGGAACAGAGGGAGGCTCGTCCCGGGCGGAGGGCGTTGTTGTGTTAACATTTCTGTGGGAACCTGGACCCTGTCCTCGCGGGCAAGGCTGAGTCCCGCTCTCAGGAACATGCTTCTCACGGTAGAAATTCCACAGTTACAGACAGTCCTAGCAGAGACGGATTTCACTGACTCATTAAGCTCTAAATTAAACCAAATTAAAATTTTTCCTGTTGTTTTTTGAAATCCAAATTTAAAATGCAGATTTTAATTTTAAAATATAAAAGCTATCTTTCCTTATTGTGTTAGTTTCCTGTTGCTGTTGTAACAAATTACCACGAATTTGGTGGCTTAAAACAACACACATTTCCTCAGTTTTGCTGGGAACCTTGAACTGCTCTAAAAAAAAAAACCCTGATTAAAAAGCCCCACAGATTGATTTTCTTACAGTCCTGGAGGTTGGAAGTTAAAATGAGCCTTCAGGGGCTAAAATCCGGGTGTGGGCAGGGCCGGTTCCTTCTGGAGGCTCCAGGGAAGAGCCCGTCTCCTGCCTTTCCCGGCTTCCAGAGGCGTCCACGTCCCTTGGCTCGTGGCCGCATCGCTGTCATCTGTCTCCTGGTCACACGGCCTTTCCCTCCGCTGTAGTCGAGTCCCCTCTGCTCCCTCTCATAGGGACCCTGTGATGACACAGGGACCCTGTGATGACACGGGGCCCCCGGGTAATCCTGGATCACCCCATCTCAGGGGCCTTGCCTTATCCCGTCCACAAAGTCCCTGTCACCAGGGAAGGGAGCACAGGCACGGGTTCTGGGGGTCAGGACGTGGACACCTTGGGGGGCCACTCTCCAGCCTCCCACACCCACAGGGCCACAGAAGACACCACCACGGTGCGGTCCTCGTGGGCCCTCCATGGTGACCACATCTCTCGCCTCGCCCGACCCTTGCCAGCACCTTCTCGACTTCGCGTGTCCCCAGGAATTTTGCAGCCAGCCACACCCAGTCTGTTCCCACTCAGTGTACCTTTCCTACTAGAAAAGCAGTTTGGGATGATCGGAGCGCAGCTAGGGCAGCTAGACGTGGGATGCTGTGGGGCCGCCTGCCCACCCCGACGGTGCCACAGCCCCTCCCCCTCTCCCCGAGCTGGGGCCCTGCCGCCCTGTCGTCTCTGACGCCTGGGGACCTGGATGCCTGGTTTGCTTTTTGGGCACATGTCGGAGGCTCAGTGGCCGGGGCTGGGAGAGGAGGAGCAAGGGAGCCAGGAGGGGCGGGAGGCTGCCCCTTTATTGCTTCTTAAAAAATACGGATTTGAGGTGGCCCTGTGGCATAATGGTTAAGTTACGCGCTCTGGTTCAGAGGCCCGGGGTTCGCTGGTCCAGATCCCTGGCGCAGACCTATGCACCGCTCATCAAGCCGTGCTGTGGCAGCGACCCACATACAAAATAGAGGAAGATGGGCACAGATGTTAGCTCAGGGCCAATCTTCCTCACACACACACAAAAAAAAACCAGACTCATTAAGTCACTGCTCGGCGGGGTGTCCCCCGAATTCAGGGAAGTGCTAGGCTGTCAGCCCTGGAGGCAGGTCGGAAGTGGTGGCGGCCGGGCCCCCTGGCTCAGGCCTGCTCTCCCCTCTGAGAGGAGGGACGGAGAGGTTTCAGGGCAGGTGAGTCACTGCCCTCCGAGGTGGCCCTTGCAAACTCTTTTGGGGGTGTGCGTCACGGACTCTGTTATGGAGATGGGTGGATTGAGTTGGCAATTAATATGGAAAATGAATAGCGGAGCTCCAAATGGGCTCGCTGGGCGAGTCGTGGCGCCTCGGAGAGAGCGTTAATGTGCCGGCGCGTTGCTGGTACTAATCACTCAGAAGGCGCGTCTGTGTTAGAGCTGTAATGAGAGCCACTTAAATTGTGCGTTAAGAAGAGAAACCATGAGGGGCCGGCGACGGGAGCTGTGACTCTAATGGAGATGCTTCCAGCACAGAGGACGTTGCTGGGTTCGGTGATCTCTCGCACTTTCCAGAACCTGCCATTGTGTCCTTTTTTCGGGTGCCTTCCTGCAGCACAGAGGGCCTCACAGTGCCCCCACCCCAAGGTGACACGTGGGTGGGCCGTGTGCTTGCGCGCACAGGCACACACATGTGTGCACACACGTGAATGTGTCCTCTTTAACCAGCGACCCATTGAGGGGGTCAGCTGGCCTGAGGGCAAGGCCCGAGGTCTGGGTCGGCTTCCAGAAGGGTCCTTGGGCCGATGGGGCCTGGTGGTCAGTCCTGGAGGGAGTGGACGCTTGGGGGCTCCTCCGGCTCCTCGCCGGTCCACGTGGTAGCCCTTCTTTGCCGCCTCCGTGAGGTTCGGGGTGAGGAGCCACTGGCGAGCGGAATCCCCGGCCTTTGCCCACGATCGCGACTGTCACTGATCTGAGCTTCGGCCAGTGGCCGATTTGGAAACGTCCTTGCACTGTGTTCTGCAGTTTCTGGGCAGGTAGAGCCAATGGTCTGCATTCCGTCCATTTACGAAGGTTACTTTAAGTTGGTTACCTGCTGTCCAGACGGCGTCCCCAAACGGGCACTCAGGCCGCCTGGTTCAGGACAGAAGGCTCGGGACGGGGGCTGTGGATGCAGGTCGGGCTGGGGCTGCTCTGCTGTTTCCCCCAGGGTCTGGGGCCGTGGGGGGGTCAACTGACGGCTGAGCCCACGTCCTCACCTGCCTGGGGGCCGTGGGGACCGTGTGTGAAGGGCTGAGACCGGGGCCCTGGAAGAACCCCCGCTCGGGCGGCCTCTCTCTTGGCCGCAGACTTGTTCGTGGCCGTGAAAGGACGGGCCTAGGGTGGGTGGGGGCCCGCGCTGCTCACCATTCCCGACTCGCCTGGGTCTGGCGCCTCGGCCCCGTGGCTTGACCTGGCTGTGCTCTCCCGCTGGCCCGGGACCCTGTGGATGCAGCGCAGTGGGTTCTGTCGGGGGGTCGGAGGGGACATCTCCGTGCAGCCGCGCCCCGTCTGTGACCGCGAGTGTGTGCGCCCTGTCGCACAGACCGCCCTGGCCCGTGCCCTGTTCCCGCTTCACTAAACACAGGGCTGTCGGGCGTCACCATCGCCCGCCACCAGCAGAGCCCGCGGGGCCGTGTGGCGGGGCCTGTGTGTGTCATTCCCTCGGAGCCGCGGGCACCCGTGGGAGAGAGGCACCCGGCCGGCTCCGGCCCGTCGCCCTGACGCCCGTCTTCTCCCCCCAGGGTTCTTCCCCGGGAGCTCCCAGGGCTGCGACGCCTTCCTGCGGCACAAGATGACGCTCATCTCGCCCATCATCCTCAAGAAGTACGGCATCCCCTTCAGCCGGGTACGTAGGGGCTGCTCGAGGAGGCGCTCTGGGCACAGGGGACCACGAGCGCCCCAGGAAACTGGCTCCTAGCCCTGGAGAAGGTTCTAGAACAGTGGCAAGCCAGGGGAGCACCACGCTGGCTGGGCAGTCCCCCTCCAGCTCCTCCATGGTGGGGGGTGAGGATGGAAGAGGGGAGTCGGGGGCCCTTGACTTTCCCTCCCACCCCTCCCAAACCCACCCCCGTCCTCGGCCCGGTGTGGCCAGTGGGCTGCCCTCTGCAGGGTCCTGCGGGGTCGGGGTTGGAGCATTTGGGGTGGGGGGCAGCTCCTGCCAACTTCCCAGGAAGCCACTGAAGCCCCGGACAGCCCCTCTCCTCCCCCATGAGCGCGGGCCCCACCGGCCGCGTCACCCTCGACCTCTGGCCCTCGGCAGGCGTTCTCTGAAAGGACGGACACCTGTGCAGAAGTGAAACCCCCTGGCTCTCGCAGCGTGGAGACGGGACTCACTCAGTGTGCTGCTCCGGGGGCTCCCCGGTCCGTTCCCCGCAGCCCAGGCCGGGAGGCGTGAGGCCTACAGCCAGGGACCTGGCTGGCAGGGACCCCCCGCCTGCGGAATTCGGGTGGCAGCGGGCCAAGCGCTGGGGCTGGTCGGCCGGCACCCCGGGTTTGCAGCCCCCAGGGGAGCTCGTGGGGGCGCCTGGCCTGGAGGCGGCTCTGCCCCGGGGTCAGCTCAGCCGTCGTCCACGGCAGACGATTCCTTCCCCGAGGACGAGGACAGTCTAGGCCTCTGTCCCCAGTCTGTCCATTCGAGAGGCACGTGCCCAGAACCTTCCAGACAGGTCTGAGCAGACCCCGGCCCGGGCAGCGAGTGGGGGTGGAGGAGGGGCCTCCTGGGAAGCTGGTTCCCCAGGAGAGCGCTCTGTCAGGCGCAGGCGCGAGTGCTGCGAGCAGACCCTCCCGCCCGCTCCCGCCCGGGTGTCAGCGCGTCGGAAATTGCCTCTGACATTTCAATCACACCGCCCGCGGCGTCTCCGCGCGTCGGCCTCGTGCTTCTGGCGGGGCCGCAGCCGGGTGCCTCCAGCGTCACGCGTCCATCGGACAGCGGGAGGTTGGGCTCTGAGAAAGGTAGTTTCCACGGTTTCTCTCCTCCACTCTGTCTTGTCATCTGAACACCGTGTGTCACCAGGAGCCGTGCAGACAGATCCCGGCCTTGCTCACAGAAACGGGAAGTACTCGCTTTCCTGTGGTTTGTCTAGAACATTCTCCGAGCGGTGCTTCCTGGAGAGGGATCCGGTGGAAGGAGTCTGCTGGCGGGCGCCCTCCTGTGTCCCGCGTCCGTGTCGGTGTGGCGCCGTGGTTTATATGCGCGGGTGGCCTCCTGGCCTGGAGGGGCTGCTGGCACCCCCAGCGAGGCCGTGCTGGGCAGCAGATGCTCCCGATGGCACGGCCACACCCCTCACACCCGGCCCTGCCTCCTGGCTGCCCACAGGGCCTGGGCGGCCGTCTCCCCGAGGCCTGCAAGGTGAAGCCCTGTCCGGCTGGCGGAGAGCAGCTCCCTGCCCCGCGGCCTCCGGGCCCCCGGCAGCGTGGGGTCCACATGCAGGCCCCCTCTCAGGGTTCCGTGTGGACCTCTCGTCTGGATCCCTGGCCGCCTTCGGAGGAGTCACTCCCCGCTCTCCACTTCTAAATCTCTGCAATGGTATTTACTTCTGGAAGGAAAAGCAGATCAATAGCAGAACCTCTTAATGATCAAACGTGTGTGTTTCTGTAATCTGCCATCGACTCCCTCATTTGTCGTGTGAGAGCTCGCAGAGGAGCCGAGTTCCAGCTCTCTCCATGACTGGCGTCGGGCCGGCGTCCTCTTCACTACTGATCACTCTGCCGTGCGGCCTATCCATCATCCTGTGCCTTCTAATTTATTGTCAGGCTAATGTTGACGGCCGTGACATGGAGGACAGACACCGTGGGCTCGAAATGAAGCCACCAGGACGTAGATCCTGTGACAGGAACATAATCTTCCTGTCGTCCGAACTGAGTGCGTCTTCTGTTCTTGGCCTTGATTTATGGAAGGGGTCGGGCAGGGGGTCTAGGCCGTAGAGTTGGCCCGAGCCTGGATGAGAGGCGCCTCCTCCATCCCAGAGACCCCTGCTGCGTCCCTGGAAGGCTCCGAGCTCACGGCCCCTGGTGCCTGCAGGGCGGGTTCTCTGCCCCCCGGAGGCCCGCAACCTGGCGGAGAGAAAGGGTGCGTGCAAGTTGGCAACGGAGGCAGATGGAGACAGGCCTTTCCAGGGTCGGTTCAGATAAGATAAGAAAGTCACTAATAGGTGTTTTTAAAAAAATTCCCTAAATCTTAATTTTATTTGCCCCGTTTGACGAAGCTCCGAGTCCTGCGGCAGAAGCCAGCCCGGGGAATCCTTGGCGTGGATGGCGGCTGCGGGGCCTTGGGGACACTTGCGCGCTCTCCCCCACCCCCGTCTCCTGCCGTGCGCGTCATTGCCCGCACGCGGCTGTCATTTGGACGGGAATTTAAAAATATAACTTAATGCACACTGACTTCCCTTGATTGGTGCAATTCATTATTTGCAAAGAAAAATATCTCCGTGTTGTTCGGGACTGGCTTTTCTCCAGGCGATGTCAGTTTTGATGGATTTTTGACTCCGTGGTTGGCTTCTGGAAGTCTCCCTCCCCCTGTCCCCCACTCCCCCCGCCAGGGTTTGGCTTCTCATTGGTTACGTAGAAGAATCCAGCGATTTCTGCTCATCTCTCCGGGGGACTGAAGATGAGCAGGCCCGAGAACTCCTACAAATCGGCAATAACAAGATGAACGACCCATAAGAGGGGCAGCGAGCGTGCACAGACGCTCTGCAGAAGGCGGGTACGCACGAACCACACGACACGGGGGGTCAGCGTCTGGACACCCCGGAGAAAGGCCTTCAGAACCGCAGGGAGATGCAGCCCCAAACGCTAGCGAGGAGGGTGCAGTGGAGGCAGAACGGGGGACGGCTCGGAAGCTTCTGGAAACGTCGACGTGCACCCGCCCTGAGCCCCCCCCCCCCTTTCTGTCGTCTCAGGAGAGATGTAGACGTGCATCCACAGGCAACTGGTCCTCGGTGTCCCCAGCAGCTCTGGTCACACCGGAGCAGCCACAGGTCTGTCCACAGGAGCAGGGATACGTCAACAGCGACACGTCCACGCGGCCGAGTTCCCTTTAGGAACGAAAAAGCACGAAGCAGTGATGGGCACAGACTGTCTGAGTCTGTTTACATGACACCCTAGAAAGAAACGTGCCCATAGTAACAGAAAGCGTGTCGGCGCGGGGGTGGAGGTTGCTGGTGATGGGGCCGGAAAGGTCCGTTCCTGTCTGGGGCGGTGGTTACGTGGATGTATGTGCTGCTGAGAACCACAGACAGTCTGTGATCTGTGCTGAACGTTCGGTCTAGGAAAAGACGGGCCCGTTGCTCATCAGAGTCACTCCGTGCTGCTGGCCTCAGTTTCCACATCTGTGAATTGGGCCCCCAGCCCCACCTGACGCGTCTGGGACACAGCGAGTGGGGGTGGCGGCCCCGACCCTGGTCCTCCCGCCTGGCCCCTTGGTTTAGGGTCTCTGTTTCGGAGGCCGGACCTGGTGGTCCAGACCGTTTTGAATGGGTCTAGAAACATCTGCTCGTTCTGCAGAGTTCTTACCCGGACGTTGTGTCCTCTCTACACGCTGACTGTGTCTTCAGTCCGACCTCAGCTGGAAGGACCTGCCTCTGGGGTATAACGGACAGATTCTGTGCTTATGACGGCGAGGTGACAGGTCATCTCCTGGGGACGTTTTATGCGAGTGACTGGACGTTCCTTTCTTACGCAGGGGCGGGATGCTCTGCTGCCCACACGCCCCGTCCTGTGCTTGGAGGGCTCTGCAGCCACCCCCAGCACCGTCCACCCCCTGCTGTGTGGGGACAGGCCACAGCGGGTGGGAGGGGTGACACGGCCACCTCCCTCCAAAGCGGGGACCCCCCCCACCACACATGAGAAGCTCCTGGAAGGGTGGCATCCCACAGTCGCTGTATGTCTGCGGTTCCCCCATGCTGGCTGTGGCTGTCACCTCTGGGGCCCCTCGGGCAGCGGTTGGGTGGCAGAGCTGATGTCCTGGCCACTGTCATACCTCTTTATAGCCGTGTGGGAATTACCCGGGGCCTATGGGGTTGGGGGGAATCACCTTCCCTTGGCAGACTCTGCGGGCTCCTAAAGCCGGGGTCTCTGGCGCTGGCTGGGAAGTCCCGGCGCCCCCGTCCCCCTGCTGTGCCTGCAGTGGCTCCTGGTGGCCTTCCCTACCGGCTGGTCTCTACCCTGGGCTGGGAGCTGCCGGGACAGGTGACGCCCGCTCCTCCCAGCCTGGCCCGCCCTCATGTGCCGCCTCTCCCTCCTCAGATCACGCAGGAGGCCGGCGAGTTCATGATCACCTTCCCCTACGGCTACCACGCCGGCTTCAACCACGGCTTCAACTGCGCGGAGTCCACCAACTTTGCCACGCTGCGGTGGATCGACTACGGCAAGGTGGCCACGCAGGTGAGCACCCCCAGACCCCGCGGGAGGGCTAAGGGGGGCCTCTCGGCCCTCGGCCTGCACGGCCCTTGGACTCAGACGGGGCCTGGCTCTCCATCAGCGTCTGGTTCTGGGGTCCTGAGCCAACTTGTCCCCAAGACAGTCCTCCCTGCAGGAACGGGGTGGACGCGTGGGGCAGGTGGGGTGGCCACGTGGCAGCCTCTCTCCCACTCCTGGAGGACCCTGACGGGAGCTGACCCCGGCTCCCCAGGTCTGAGGGCTTCCTGCTGCCCTGGCCGTCCCTGAGGTCACTGAAGACTCCTCCGAATTCCTCCTTCCCAGGAACCTGCTGTTCCTGTTCTCAGAGGCCGATTACTGGCCAGCGGATTTGACATCTGGACTGAGAGCTTGTTCTCAAATCCCCTTAGCTCTGCATGCCTGTCTGTGCGGTTTTGATTGACAGCTGGAGGGTGGCGAGGCCCCTCGACGGCACATCCATGGGAGCCTCTGGGTGCGGGCAGGGTCGCTTCTGCCCCCGTGTCCACTCTGGAGCCGAGGTGGCTTTGGAGGTCCCGGTGACGGGATGGACTCGGGGCTGTGACTCCAGGCCCCCCGGGAAGGGGGGGTGGAACCTTGGGGGGAGGCGGCATGGACGGGGCAGCAGGCCCACCCTCCCCACTGCCAGTAGCAGGGCCTTCCTCCCAGGCTGACTGCCGCCCTCGGCGCCTGTCACGGCCGCCGTGGAAGACAGTGAGCTCTTCCTATCAGGCCAGGCGCGGCTCTGGCTAAGGGTTTTGGCCGTCTCTCTCCACCACAAAGGCCCGGCCACTCGAGGGCGGCCCACTCTGGCGCCGGGGCACGTGGAACAGGAGAGTCCTCTCCCGCTGGGCCAGTGCAGTGTGAGAATGGGGCGCCTCTCGCCAGCCCCCCAAGTCAGGGCCTTGGGGTTCCTCCCAGGATCGGGGCAAACGGTGGGTTTCTCAGCAGATCCGGAAGGGGGGCAGTGGGGCAGAAGAGCATCTAGAACCCAGATCCCGATCACTGAGTGGTCTCTAGACCTCAGAGCTGCGCCAGAGAGGGTCTAGGCTGCGATGAGTGGTATGGCGGCCGCGGGCCCCACGTGGGTGTCGTGACCTGGAAGTGTGGCCCGGGTCACGGGGGTGTGTGGAGTCTGACACGCAGTGTCCCAGACTCAGCCCCCAGCGGAGAACACGAGCCGTCCACAAGGAGTGTTTATGTTGGCTACGCAGCCTGGTGCTTCGGGCTCCACGGGGTTAAGCAAAACATACGGCGACCGTCACCTGTTTCCTCTCCCTGTCTGAACGTGGCGACTGGAAACGTGGAGGCTCCGCGGACGGCCTGCAGCGCTGGTCTAGATGAATGGGCTAACCTTTACTTTTCTCATTATCTGTCTCTCTCGCTTCACTGTTTCGGCGCAGTTTAGAGAAAGAAACGAGCTCTGTAGCGAGGAGACTGAGGCGCTTGCAGGGTTTTTTACGCTCGATTCAGAGAATGGGGGTGGGATGGTCTTTGGCGGTGACTCTGGGCTTTGCTGAAAAAGGAGTGCCGTGGCTTTTGCTTTTGATCTCAGGGAGTAATTGAATGCCCCGGGGCGTGTGGTTTTGTTTGTGTTACCCCGGGGCCCACGATGGAAAGACCAAGTCGAGAGAGTTCCGGGACTGTGTGGGCCGCGCTGCGCTGAGTTGTAAGCCCCCGGCCTGGGCTTGTACTGGAGCCGCAGCGGGCCGAGGGACTGCCCAGATGGTAAAGCCGTTTGGGGTGCAACCATGTGTTCCCCAACAAGTGACATTTGGGGAGCGCAGCCTGAGATCGCCACCACGCTTACGCACCCGGGCGGCAGGGCGTGAAATGACGGCGGCGGGAAGGCGAGGGCTCGGCGGGGAGTGGCCACTGGCCACGGGGCGTCCGTCCGTGTGGTCCTGGGGTGTCAGCTCCCAGGCTTTCTGGTGGTGAGTGGGGCCCCGACTCTCGCAAGCTCTGCTGCCCCATAACGAGTCCAGTCCAGGGAGGCCGGGGGTGGGGGGCGCCTGGCCCCGCAGGTCACAAGCTGAGGTGCGAGAGAGGCGGGGAGATTGTTCCGGTCAGATGGCACTCAGCGACCTGCCGGGTTTTAGGGAATGGGGGGTGGCTCTGGGGAGGGTCCCAGGACCCCTTTTCCTGCTGAGCAGGGCTTCTCCTGCCGGAGCTGCCCCCTATCTGCGTTTGGGGCCAGTTCCTTCTAGCACCTTCATCAGAACATAACCCAGGGGGAGAGTTCCACTTTCCAGATTTTACACTTTTTACTTATTGGTTCGTTACCTCTTTCTGGCTCCCAGGAAGGCCCCCGCAACCTCCCTGTTGCCCCTTTCCTGTCATCCTGCCTCTGCGCTAACACGTTAAGTGCCAAACGCTGGCACCTGGCCGGCCTGCGTGAATTTCAGGTCTCAGTGTTCTTTTTCCTTCTAGAGCAGGGTCAGCAAACCGGGGCCCGTGGGCCAGATCCCGCAGGCTGGTGATGGTTGTCCCGTCTGCGAACCGAGCATGACTTTTATGTTCTTAAAAAGTTGGGGGGAAAAAATCAGATGAAGAAGATGCTATGCGACGATTACATGAAGCTCAGATTTCATGTTCGTAAATAAAGTTTCATTGGCGCACGGCCCCGTTTGTTGACGTGCTGTCTGCGGTGTTTCACCTGCAACGGTGGACTCGAGTGGTTGCACAGAGAGTGCCGGGCCTGTGAAGCTGGAATTGTTTGCCTTTCGGCCCCTGGTCTAGAGACTTGAAGGTGTGGCGAGTGTCCGCCTTTCCTGCCAGCCTGGCTCTGGCCGGGTAGGGCTGAACGGTCACCTCCCTGCCCACGAGCATCTCCCCAGGCTGGCGGCCTCCTCCTGGCGGGCGTCCGGTGCTGGGCTGGGGGGCCAGAGCTGCCCCCAGAGGCCTGTGCTCCATTTCCGAGAGCAGAATTCCCCAGGTGGGCCCGCGCTCAGCCGGGCGCCTCTGTAGTGGGATCACCACCAGGGAGATCAAAGGGATGCTCCAGCCCCCCGGGAGGAGATCAGATGTGCACCCCAGCCTTTGGAGGCCTGCACTCCAATTAGTCCTACAAGGCTGCACACCACATTGGGTTAGCTCGGGCCGGCTGCTCTCCGCGTGGGGGTACTGGGCGGTGCCTGACACGGCCTCTTCCCTCCACCGAGGATGCTGCGTCCCGGCTGCCCCACATGGCGCCGGAGTTACTGGGATTAAACAGAGCGAGAGAGATTTAGGGCCCGTTGTGGGGGGAGCCCGGGCGCACTGAACTGGTTTTCCACCAGCTGTCTGCGCGGGCGCCCAGTCTCCTACAGGGCCGTCGACCAGGGGCCTTCTGAGCGCGCGAGAGAGGAGGGCCCCTTCCCCAGATGCACCATGTCTGGAGGTGGCCCCCTCGTCCCCCTCTCCCGCATCCAGGGTGGGGGCTTCTCCCCATGCCCCAGCCTGGGTACATCGAGCTTAATTACTATGAAATGTGAACCAAATTGTTTCTGCTGTTGGAGAACGGTGCCTTCTGTCTGGTAACGAGCCGCCTGCTCCAGGCGATTAACTGAGCCCCAGGGGACGCGGGGGTGGGGTGGTGGGAGAGAGGGTGGAGGAGGGCCGGGACAGGGCGCAGCCCAGTGCATCTCTGACCCGCCCGCCCGCATCCGAGGGCCCCGCGCCCGCCCGCGCCTCTGCGCCTTGCTGACTGGGTGATTTATGGTGATTTGTGGTGCTGGGCGGCCGGGTGCGCGGGGTTCGCTGTAAATTGCTGTGTGAACCTTGCCCCTTGCTTCTTCCCCTGAGCTTCCTGTCACTCTGTTCCTGGCAGTGGCTCTAAGCCCGTTCCCGCGGAAACTCGGGCTGTTGTAACACACAGGCGCACGGCGGTGCAGGGAGGGCCAGAGCGGAGATGGGGCGGGCCGAGCTGACCTTAGAGCCGGTGCCCCGCTTCCCTGCTTGGTTGTGTTTGGGGTTAAACCCCATGTTCTAGAGCAGCTTATAGAACAGGTGCGAAGGGGTCCAGAAGGAGAGCTCTTAGGCAGGGTCTCCCTCAGCACCGAGGACGTGGGTAGGGCCATTCTCTGGGGGGCCATCCTGGGCGCTGTGGGGGGTTGAGCAGCATCCCTGGCCCCCACGCCCTCAATGCCAGGAGCACCCCCAGTGTGACAACCACAGGTGTCCCCAGACACGGCCCCATGCCCATGGGGCAGGACGCCCCTGTGAGACCCCTGGTCTAGAAGGAGGGTCCAGGGCCGTGTTTCTCTGCTTTCCTCTCATTATCTCCACCCCCTCCCCACACGCTTTGAGACTCTTTTTCCTAATTGCCCCCCTGAACCTTTACTCCGTAGATCCAGTGTATGTCTGTCCACACGCTCTCTGTGTATCTGTGTACACAGGAGAGGGAGGTCTCTCTGCCCCTGAGAAGGAGTTTTCTCCTTGGGGGCCGTGTCGCCCCGGGAGAACCCGAGGAGGATGGGTCTAGTGGTGCAGCCTCAGGCCACAGGGAGGCCCTTCCTTCAGGCACCCCACCCCCACCAGCTGGAGCGCTGGGTGGGCTCCCCTGAGAAGCGACTTCCCGCCACCCCTGGGGTTCCGAGGCCCAGAAGCCCGCTGCCTGGCGCTGGGGGGCCGGTGGGTTCCCACCCTTCATCCTCAGCCCCTCCCTCCCCGCTGCCCTGGCTGGGGGAGCTGGGGGCACCCCCGGGCCCACGCCCCCCGATCTGAAGGAGATTCCTGCTCCTCTGATGGCTCCGCTGGCGACACGACGAGCTTGGCGTCCGTCTAGCGGGGAGGGTGTGGAGTCGAGAGTGTGATTGTGGCCCTCCCGTCGGTGCACACGGCCTGTCTGGTCTCCGCCTCCCCCCACCCCTTGTCGTGTCCCCATTTGCTGACTGCGTCCTGGGGAGGGAGCATGGGCGCCTGCTCGTGAGCGGGTCCTGGAGAGCTGGACGGCTCGGTGGGCCCTGAAGCCGGGCCCTGACCTCTGTGCCCTCTGTGCCCTCCCGGGG